CTGAGCTTGTACAGCTTGTACAAAAGAAATTTATTGAAGATCTGCTTCATGACACTCTTGGATTTGGTGCTGCAAAAATGATAAGGTGAGAAGGCAGACCGCATATTTCTTTGGTTCTTGCATTTGATGTTTTTGCACAAAAGAAATTTATTGGAAACTAATAATGAGATCTATTCAGAATCATGATCATGCATCGTTCATTTACTTTCATTCTTAACTGGAATCCTCTTCTCCGAATCGTTGGAATGGCCCATATGCACAGACTGCTTTCTTGTTTGTAGTTTTGTGCCATTCTTACATGGTCTTTTAACTTCTTACCTGTTACGTCTACGAGATTTTTGTTTTAGTAACTCAGTAGTCATTTTAAAACCAAGAGAGAAGAGCTTCTAGACCAGAAAACTCCGTGCTTAAAATAAATATTCCACTGTGAATGATAGCCTACAAGAACAAACACCATAAAAACACACACACACACACCGTGCATCAAGAAACTGTTGAATTAATTTCGATAATAATGCTTTTATTTTTGTTTTTGACAGGCGAATCGTTGGAGTTGCACATGTTGAAGATTTTGAGTCAATAGCGGATGCCAGCAAGCGTGCGGGTTGCGAGCGTCGAGCTCTTGAGTTAGCAAAGCTACTTCTCAAGGAGAGGAAAAGATTTCAGGACATTAATGAAGTTATTTCAGCAATTCTTCAACACCAGTAACGTAACGACTTCTGAGACGGTTCTACGACAAATTGGCAGTACGTTTGATAATTTGAAACAGTGATTTCTGTGATAATTTGGTGTGGCTGCTTGTAATTCGATTTCGTAGGGCCATGAACATACCTAATAAAAACATGGCTTTTTTTGGCTTCTTTTATGTCGTATATATCACTTCTATGCTCTGTTTTCCAAGCTATATGTAATTTCACTGTATTGAAGTGGGGTATGCGTAAAAATACTCCACTCCACGCCTGTGAATACTTACACGAAGCGGATTTACTACCGTGACATCACACGGCACAGTGGAATCGGAATGCTACAGTGACAATAAAATCGTTTTATGAAAGAAGTTTTGAAAAGTTTTTGGCCAAGTTCCAGTGTCTGTATTGCTGTCCTTGCGATAATCCATCATAGTTCTACAATTTATTTTGCCCATATTTTCATAATTCTGACCCTTAATTCTCCTTTATTTAAATCAAACGACTTGAAAAAATTAGAGTTTTTATCGTTAATAGTTAAAATTTAACACTTAATTTCATAAGTGTCATTTTTTATAAAAGTTTTCAAATGTATCAGAAAATTCATGTGAATAGACCTAAATGTCCTAAAAATCCAAAACCTAATTACATAGAAAAGCCAAAACCCTTGAATAGATCTCGTCTACATCTATGTTCAAAGTGCGAGGCCACAAAGGGATTTGATAAACATTGTAGAGCAATTGCGGGTGTTGTTCAACAATCAACTAAAGGAGTACGGACTTGAAATTTTGTCACTCATGTCTAAAACTCAATCGTTACCGTTGATACTAGATCGTCCTAAAAGCGTATGTTTTATTCAATCAATTTAGCAGACATGATATTGGTTGAGGCTTCTAACTCATTGGAATCAAATTCCAATCTAATTCCCAAGAGGATCATCCCAATTTTATTCTTTCTTCCCTGCCAATCTAACTAATCTACAACACCTATTTGTAAGCTCTAAATTGTTGATCTCAAATCGTCCAATTCTGATCATGTTGGCATTCAATTTTAGTTTTGGATTTCTTTGGAACGATTGAACTTCTAATAGGTTTTTCTTATATTTATTTGGTTTTAATTTTGAGGGTATTTAGGTCTTTTTAAGTGGTTTTTCTGCTATATTTGAAATATTTTATAAAAAATGACATTTATGAAATTAGGTGTTAAATTTTGGCTATTATTGATAAATACTATATGTAAAAAGTGAAAAGAAGTATGTAGAAATCGTTTATCATTTTGGTTATTTTTTTCTTGTGAAAGAAAAGGAGGTACAAAAAGTTCCACATCATCTTAGTAATATCGTTCTGTTACTAGAACTTTAATGGAAAAAACCTATTCTCCAATGACTTTTTGGCCAAAATGGTTCTTGAGATTTGCCTAACTTCTTACTATAGTTCATGAGATTTGAAATCAATAGAAGTGGTCTTTGAGATTATCCATTATCAATCATTTTGGTTATTCGGTGAAAAATTATGTTAAGTAAGGATCAAAATGACAAAATTGCCCTCATTTTAATAAACAATAGGTTAAAATTATTTGACAAAAATTTAGGGTTTTTTTTTGGTCATTTTATCCTTATTTTATGGAGATTTTTCATGGAATAACCAATGTTTTATTGTGGACAAGCTCATGGACTAATTCTATCGATTTCAAACCTCAAGGACCAAAGTGAGGAGTTATGCAAATCTCAGGGACCATTTTGGTTAAAAAGCCTTCTCCAACGGCAAGTGTATATTGCAACTTGATTGGAATTTAACCATCAGTTTGTGGAAAGTTGGAAACCTTTCCAATTGCAGTAGATTGATATTTTGCCCTGGTGCTAAAGTAACCATTTTGTTGCTCTTACTTTATATATATAGATAGATAGATTAGCATCACAAATTCCTCAAGCCTTGTGGTTAACTGGAGGATCAATTAGAGCTACTAAAAACCCCTAAATTAGCTAAAACCCAGATAAGTGTCAATGTCCTACATATACAACACAAAAGAACAATTGGTAAATACCTGGGTATTCATAGCATTGTGTTATGGAAAGATCCAATTAATGAACAAGAATTATTAAGAAGAGTGAAACAAAAGTTAGCTGGGTGGAAGATGAATACTCTTTCTAAAGCAGGTAGATTAACTTTTATTTAGTCTAATCTAACTGGTATGCCTAACCATATGATGTCTTACTTTAAGTATCCCCCTCGTGTAACAAAGAATTTAAACAAGGAATGTAGGGATTTCTTTTGGGGAAGAGATAGGAAACTTTATCCTTTAGCTTGGGATAAAGTTTGCATGGCTACAGACCAAGAGAGGGGGGGGGGGGTTAGGAATTAAAAGAGTGGATCATTTCAATAATGTTTGTCTAGCTAAGTTAGGTTGGAAAGTTCTAAAAAATGAGAACAATTGGTGGGCGCAAGTGGTTAGAAGGAAATACTTAAGGAATAATTATTTTTTAAGTTGTAAGGTTAGACAAAACTATTATATAGCTTGGAAAAGAATTTTAAATAGTAAACATGTTATCCACATGGGAATAAGATTGGTGGGGTAATGGTAAGGACATCCTTTTTTGGACCCATCGTTGTGTTTTTCCTTATCCGCCTGCCCACCTTATTCCAGTTAATCAGCGTCAGAATATTAATTGGGAAGCTAAAGTTTGTGACTTTATTGATAATGAGAACTGGGACAAAGTTCGGCTTTCTCAAGTATTAGATTCAGATGTTGTGAAAAAAAAAATCTATTTGGTAACTATTCCCTTGCAGAATAAGGAAGATTACTTCATTTGGGATCATTCATCAACTGGTGAGTTCTCAATTAAATTAGCTACTTGGATTCTTAGTAATCAAAGCCACGAAGTGAAGACAAAAGCTTCTTAAGAGGATGTGGAGGTTAATCATTCCCCCTAAGGTAAATTTTTTTGCATGGTTGCTTATTCAAGGAAAATTGCATACTAAGGTAAGATTGAGTAAATACATTCAAAATACTAACAAAGATTTGCCCGTTATGTGGCAAGGAGGAAGAAACACAGAATCATCTTTTTCGGAATTGTGATTTTGCAAAAGAAGTCTAGAAACGATCTGCGTTAAATACACGATGGAGTAATGTTGGACATACAAATGATTTTTTAGATTTGTTAGAATTAATTAACAATGATGAATGCAGTGGTCTGATTGAACTTAGTAAGGCTCTTCTGAATTGTTGGCAAATTTGGAATGATAGGAATAATAAAGTTTTCAGAAGTATAAGTCCTCATCCTGCTAGAAGTATTGCCATTGCCGCTAGAGTGGGTTTATATTATTTTGAGGCCAATCGTAAAAGGACTAACAAAAGCAACCTATGTAATCAAACAAACATTCGTTGGAAGCCTCCGCCCCAAGGTTTTGTGAAGTTAAATTTTGATGGCTAGGTTTGTTTAAATAAAGCAGCTGTTGGGTTTGCTTTATGGAACAAGGCTGGACAACCTATTGGAGCTGGTGCTTTCAATCTCGATGGGGCCACCATCTTGCTCGCGAAAGCCATTGCTTTAAAGGAGGGCCTTTCTTTTGCCAGGCACAAAGGTTTGAGAAAGCTTGTGGTGGAGAGGGATTCCAAGCTCATCATTTAGGTGGTGTAGGGGGAGTGGAACCCCCCATGACATCTTATACCGATCATTGAGGACATTAAGTGGCTAGCGTCGGGATTTCAGTGCATTAGATGACATCATATTTAGGAAGGCAAATTTTGTCGCGGACAAATTAGCTCATGTGGGCTTATCAGTGACGAATCCATATTTTTGGGATTATTGCCTTCCTGCTTCGACCATGCTTTTAGATTTGATTGTTTGGGAATCGGTTGTACTAGAAGCTTTTTCTATTTAATGAAATCTTTTTTCTTGTAAAAAAAGACTTCAAATAAGTGTCATATCATAGAATATTATGTTTTCTTTATTAAAATTTTTGGCTCGATGTGTTGTCTGACTATAAACTATTGATTATATAAAAAATTTTATTTAATTTAATAGTAATGTAGAACACAAATTGACAGTCTGATAACATATACAAATAATACTATCGTACAAATGCATTGGAACCATTTATTTATGATCAATAGATTAATACAACATTTTATTTACTTAAATCAGTCCTTGCCTTGCATGACAACTTTAAATTATGGGAATAGATTCTCTTCTCATCTATATCTCTAGAGTCCAGGGATCAAATGATTCTGACCCTTAAAATTTGATCTTATGGCCAAAAACAGAAAAGTTAGTGAAAACTTTTGAAAGTTACAATAGTTTTTGACAGGAGGATAAAAGTTTAAAAGCCAAGATCATTTGATCCCTGGGCTGCCGATGTATAGATCTAGAGAGGATCTCTTTCCTTAAACTATTGGGAGTATTTTTACTCACTACCATTTAATGTGGTGTATGCACACCACCCTATTTATCACAGTTAGATGAGTTTAAATTTCGAGATTCGTGTAGTGGATAGTCACAAACCTCAAAATTCATACACCATACTAAATGGTGGTGAGCAAAAATTCCCTCTAAATTATTGGCTACAGAAGCACTACAATTTAGTTTCCTGCATACTTGGCCTTGTACTCTCTCCAAAGCTGATCAACGTTCTTCCCCAGCAAATCAACAAAATAATCAGCACTATAACCACTCCTCAGTTTCTTATTCATTTCAGCAACAAACCCATTTTTCAGACTATTCAAATAGTCCAGAAACCTAGCAGTGACATCGTACCCCTGGTCCCATCTATCCCCCTGCCCGGGCTTAACCCAGTGACTTGGCGCGTACCCGGCCTTCAACCTCACGTAATCAGCTATACCCTCAATCAGCCCCCCCGGGGCTCGAGGGTTCCCATTCCATTGCCAGACGTGCGTTGACTCATGGTAAAGCACACCGGTGATCTCACTCTTCACATCGCCGGAGTAACCAGCTATGTAGCTGGCGCTGACGTGGATCTCGTTGTTGATGGTGTACGCGACCCCGGTGATGTTTTCAACGATTAGGGTGACCTTGGAGACACTCTTTCTGTCGTCGGTTGTTTTTTGCTGGAACAAGCTCCATATGAAGTTGGTGGCGGCTATTAGGGTTTGCCTGCTGTACTCTGCTCCGATTTCATTGTTGAAGCGGATTCCGCCGGGGGTTCCTCTGGCGGTATTTGTGACGATGTAGTCGACTGCATGGGTGCCAGGAAGGAAGCCTGCTGCTAGTGTTACGAGCAAGGAGAGGAAACAAATATGGTGAAATTGAACCATGGTTTGTGACTAGTGAATTAAGTTAAGCTAGTGCCTTTGGTTTTTTTACTTCTGGGTTCTGTGCAAATTTGCCATTCTTTGGATGGTTTATATAGAGAGCTATGTGTACCACTATATTCAACGTCAACTTTTTAAATTTATTTTAAAAGATATTAATGAACTTTTGAGTTTTCTCATTTTCTGTCGTTCAAAATTTCTTTCTAGATGCTAGAGAGATTATATACTTAAATTATATTTTGTAGACAACATGATGTGACAGTTGATAATTGAATTACTTATTTAAATGATTAAAAGAGGTAGTTAATCATTAATTGCAACATCATATAGTCTACAAAAATATGATCTAAAAACATGATCTTACCTATCACCACCAAATAGCTTCCTAGTAAGGGTGGATCTAAAAAACCGAAAAAAATCGAACCGAAACGAAATGAAATTGGTTAGTTCGGTTTTGATAATTTAGAAACCGAAGCGAATTGAACCAAACCAAAGATTTAAATCGGCATCCTCTTGCAATTTTACTAACCCCTGTACCCTTGGCTTGTATGCACTTGGCTTTCACAGAAAGAAAGGAATTTCAAAACTTTATCCTTGGCAGGTATCTTTCAAATTCGAATTAAGCCAATGCTAAATTATTGGTTGTGGAGGATTAGAGATTGAAGGCACGTTTGGGTGGTCTGCTGAGTCGCTGAATCTCCTTTCTTGATATTTGGGTGGATCTTCCGTTTACTTCGTTTGTTTTGACGTGTGATTAGGTTATTGTGTCTTTTTGTTTTTGTTGTTTGCCAAACGGAAACTAGTTCTGGGTTGTGTTTGATTCTTCTATTTGTTTTAACTATGATGGACAATGATACACCCTGAACTCTTCTTCCAGATTTTTATCTGAGCTACATACACTTAAAATATATTACTGTCTATGCAGTCAGGTTGCATATTGTGGGATTTGGGATTCAAAATTTGAAATAGAGTTGGGGTAGATTTGGCTTGAGGAATCATTGTGAATTATTACATTTATAAGTTACTGACTTAAAAAAAACATAAGCTGTTATGCCTTTAAGTTCCTCTTATTTGCCTTTAAGCATTGTGAAACGATGTGAATTATTATTAGCCAACTTAAGTTCATTGCTAGTAATGCAAGTTTCTCTTATTTGCTAAGCTGCAATGTTGTGTGACGCTAGACATCATACATGTTGTGTGAAGTTAGACCAAATTGAACTGAACCAAACTGAAATTGAGAAAAAATTAGATCGAACCGAACCGAACAATACTTTCGATTTGGTTTTTGATTTCGGCAAAAAAATAACTGCCCCAACTTCCTAGAGTAACTAGCAGCTGCCACACCAAAAAGCACTAAAACAAGGTAGAGAACGATTTCAAACTTCTCGTGAGAGTGAGCCCTAGTTAAACTTCCAAACGCATCAACAATAAAATAAACTTTCTTCATCACATGGTGAAACATGTAGCCTTTACATGCTCATAATATATATGTTATCCGAAATGTCTATTTCTCGTATCTTGAATTGCGGAGAGGCTTTAATATGTAGGACGATACCTTATAATAAGAGATTTGAAATCCTTTCTATATCTCACTGCACGGAGTTTGAGGACCAAAAAATTCAGACGGTGAGATCGGCAAATGGAATGAGTTAACGAAGATCGTGTAATTCAATTTAAGTGGTTCATATTTCTTGATCCTTGGATTCTGAACAATGAGATCTTGAAAAGATCTCAACTCATAGTAAGGGAGCTTGCTATGTACCATTGACCTTGACTTGGACTCGGCCTTTTTTGCCGTCTTGAAACCCAGCTGGTTATAGATAGACATGGTCATAGAATCAACCACCCCTTTTCCTTGTTCCCGCCATATATTTTATATCTAGGTTGGAAAATTGCCCTAACCATTTTATTTTATATTTTACTATGATTACTTTACATTTGAAGAACACTATGAAAACAAGAAAACAAAAGCCTGATACAAAAACAAATATGAAAACCAACAACAAAAAGACACGAAAATGTGTAAGCACCACCAAAAAAACACCTTGCTAGACAGAAAACATTTGTCGGATAAAAGTGGATTCCGTCGCCCAAAACCTTAGACGATGGAAGCTTGTTGGAAAAGGATGGTTGCACAAAACCTGTCGCTCGAAGTCTTATCCGACGAAAATAGAAATTCGTCGGGTGAAACTAAGTTTACCCAACGACTTTTATGTCGAGTAAAAGTGTGTTGACTGTATTTATCCAACGAAAGTATCTTGACGGACGACATGATTTTATCGCCCCGTACCAAATTTAATATTATTAAAAACTTGACTAGACGGTATCTTTGTCGTGCTGTTTAAATTTAAACAAAAAAATTAAAACAAAAGTTTGCTTGACAAATATATTCGTCGAGCAAACCTTTTTAATTTTTTTTTTAAATTCGGTTTTAAAGCAACATTTATAGTAAATAATTTATTTAATTCTAAATATATTAATTTAAAAAGCTAAAATTTATTTAATTGCGTTCAAAATAAAATTGTTCATACAATTTTGTAAAACAAACTAAACTAATTAACCTAAACTACTAGGGTGGGTGCTCGGTGGTTGAGGGAATGGTGCTTGAAGTTCGCTGGAGGGCTCAGGAATGCGAATGCTAGAAGCTGACTTGCTTGGGATATCCCAGCAATGTACATGCGTACTGCTCTTTGTCGCACGTAGCAGCTTCTCGCTCGCAAGCAACTTCTTCTCTTAGGAGCGCTGCTTCTTCTCTTTGGCGCTCAACTTCTTTTCTTTGGCATGCTAGCACCTACTAAGGTTTGGAAGACGTCTCAATCGAAGGATGCAAGTTCGCTAAAAAAGAAGACACCTCCGAGTCTCGAATTGACCCGCTCATAAGCAACGTAGTTTCTTGTCTTTTAGTCGCTTAACCTCGTCCGTCAGCAACTGTAGAGACACCTTTAGATTAGGTGTCATCTCCTCCATAGGCACGTTCGGTTGCTGCTTAGAGAGGTTGGCGAGGTACTCGTCCTTCTTATGTGTTGTAGAAGTCTTAAAAAAAAAAAAAACAAGAGAAATCATTTAAGATTATTGATCATATATAATTTAATCCTTTTTTTTTTTTAATTGTAATGAAGTTTAAATATAAAATGTAGAACGGAATACTTACATAAATGTCGTCCCCGATTTGGTTGCCATAATTGGCATGCATCTCACCCTAAACCTCCAATTCCGGGGAATACGAACCACTCGCCTGTTGTTGCTTGAGCTTTGCGCGACAAGGGTGTGACATCCCGTCCCGAGAATATAGAAACGCAAGTATGAAATGACAGTTTTGCCCCTAGTTCGTCACATTTACGTTTAGCGTTATTTCGGGCGGTGTGGATGTGACATCCCGTCCCGAAACTATCGAACCGTACGTGTGAAATGACCATTTTACCCCTAGTTTGTTCTATTATGTTTTTGGTGTTTAGTGTGGTGTGGACATGTGTGGGGGTCACACACACACATTCACACTTGCTTTCTCTCCCTCTCCCTCTGACTTTCCTCTCTCTCTTTCCCCCGAGCTCCATTTCTCCTTCTTCCTTCTGTAAACGTACGGACACACACACACACACCCTAAAACGTCACAGATCGAGGGATCCAAGACAACCATTGAACTCGTGGAGCTGAGAGGAGTCTAGTGGTGCCATTTTCAGGTAAGAATCTCGACGTTTTCAAGTCGATTTCACAAGGTCCGTTTTGGGTCACTATTCATGCAAACCTAATCTAGTAGGTTTTTGGACATTTTAAGCTTGTAGATGTGTTAGTGAGGTTCCCAGGAGCTTGGGAGTGCTTCGTTGGGTGAATTTGGACGTCGGGAAAGCTTGGTTCAAAGTTGGCCGAACTTGGATCGTTGTTGCAGGTGAGATTCTTTGATTTTTAGGCCTTAAAACTAGTCTAACGTGAATCTATTAGTCTTAAGCTTCATTTTGGTATAAAGAACGTGAAAAATGGTTGAAAAACGAGTGAGAAAACAAAGTTGGAAAATTTTGCAGTTTTCCGGCGACGGTGGCGGCGCCGGCGGCGGTGGCTCGCCGGAGAAGACAGGGGAATATTCCGTTAGGGTTTGACGGAATATTCCTAACGGACAGTAACGGCGTCAGTCAAGGTTAACGGAATATTCCAGGGAATATTCCTGACGGCGTCACTTGCCGCCGTCAGCGTGCAGGTCACGTGGCCGCGCGTGGGGGCGCGTGGACCCGTGTCTGTGCTGGCGCGTGGGGGTGCGTGACGTGTCCAAAAATTATTTTAAAAATATGGTTGTGATCGTGAGGTTGTGTAGATCACGTTGGTATATTCATTTGTCCATTTTGAGCAATTTATGAGAAGTTATTTTGAACGGACGGTTATGTGCTTTAAAGTTAACGTTTTTATAGTTAATTCGCATATAGGTGACACGTATCCCGAAGACGAGCGTGCACATTCGAGGCAGAGGGGCTACGACCCTTCTACATACCAGTGAGTGGGCTTTTGTTTTCCGTATATACCTATATACATGTTATTTCCCAGAAATTAGTATAAATGCCTCGTTTTACGCTATTAATTTTATATGATTGATGATTATACATGATTAGTGGCATATGAGTTGGTTTATATATTTATTCTTACGTCATTTACATGTATGTTGGTGCTGTGGCGGCCCAGGTAAGTGCCAGGTGAGCATGGTTTATCATTTGCATTAAATAGCGATTAGAGGTGCTTAGAGAGCTCATAACCTGCACCCCCGGTGTTAGTGCTCCCGCCAGAGTAGGGCATAGTCCTTCACGTGTCGTTCACCTCCCGCACCACACGCTCAGCTTGAATCCAAGTTAGGTGCACAGTCCTGTCGTACAGACCACTATAGGTGGTTCCGACTCGTAGGTGACCCGCGATTATTCGCACAGCCTTCACGTGATCGTAGCACTAGAGCGTTTATATGTATTGCACCCAGGCTTGTCGTACAGACCACTATAGGTGGTTCCGACTCGTGGGCAGGTTTAGTGATTGAGTTGTCATTTGAGCTCTAGATTCAGCCGTACAGGTCACTTAGGGGACTCCGGCTGCCAGATTAT